GCACAGAATTTTTAAAAATACCTGTATAACAACAAATATTTGTTCAATTCCCTATTGAATCAACTATCTACTTGCTGATGATTAATCAGTACTAGTACAAATTGTGACTGTATACTCAACTAATTGGTCGTTATATTTAACAGGATCTTCAACATAATAATATGAACTATTTTCGCAATATGTGTGACAGATATAACACTTTTCTACAGTACACCATCCCATGAGAACATCATTGTGACCAAGGGATTATAACGAGCATGACCCTGACGCTTTTCTACCGTCTTCTTTACACCTCTTCTTTTGCGTGCCAGTATGTTCGTCGCGTGACTCCAGGTCACGGCACTTCGGTTTTAACGACGACACAATTAAACGCGACAAAACCTTTGGGGCCGACGCCCGTTCATATCACCCATTATTTTGAATTTAATCTATTCGCAAAGTATACTCTATATTATGTTTTCGTTTAAACGTTCCATGAATATTCATTACTCCGGAAGTGTTCGTAGCAATTTGATCAATTCCTTTGATATATTCAATATACTGTAAAGTTACTCAATAAATGGAAAATTTGTAAAAAAGTTTATTGTCTTTGTGCTTAATTGCGGTTTTTTTATGTTTTAGATAAACAATCCATTAGAAGCTGTTGAATGAAGATTTTACGACAGAAATTTTTATGATGTGAAAACGGTTAAATAATTAGTTAATAGTGTTTCTTATATTAAAAATAATGCCTTTTTTTAATCATAACTTGTAGCATTTAATGACTTAGTAATTAAGGATGTACGTAATTGTACGAATTGAATCATTACTGCGTCTAAAAATAAATAACTCAATTGGATAAATATTTTTATGTCAATTTATTAATATCAAACTGTAAGAAATTGTTTTTGTAAACGTATTAAATTTTTATTGTCTTTGTTATTTATTGTTATGTGTTGTTTAGAAGTGTTTAATAATTCACTAAGTAATTCTTGGGAAGCTTTTTATATTCAAATTGCATATTTATAATAATTGTAAAAACGTCAACATATTTTTGAGACAAAGGTATATTGCGTATGTTTAAGCTCCACAATAGGCGGCCAATGTTACTATTTACTAAGATTTGAATAGACAAACGGAAGGTATTCTCATATTCATGAAGAGATCCGAGAATGTATGTATTACATAAGTACACAAGCTATTTCGTCAACATCTTATTAAACGGAATAGGTGCAACAAACACTTCGTAGAGACACAAAGACGTGAGACGTGAAAAACAATTACACCAATAGAACTTTTCATTTCGAAGTGAATACCATAAATATTGAAAAAAAAAAGAAATAATAAAATACGATGCTCCGAAATCAATGTCTAGAGTCCGGCGAAGGAGATACGGCCATCAAGATCAGACACTGCCAAGCAGTTCAGATTACTTCTTAGTAATTAAAAGCTCGGAAGTGATTATTGATGATAGTAAAAACATAAATAGTTTAATGATTGTGATGATTAAAAAATATTTTTGGAATAATTAAAATAAATTTATCCTCTATGAGAGGTTCGTACTGTTTTAAATATATTTAACTTGATTTTTTTTTTTCATTTTTTAACAACAAATCGGATTATTTTCGTGGTTAATTTTAACATAATTAGAAAATAATTCATCACAATTGCGCAAAAAACTTATTACCAGCTAAAGGATAATAATTTTGCGGGAGTTTTCAGAGAAAATTAGTCATTTAATAAATGAAATATTATCAAAAATGAGCTAACAACCATCAAGTGTTTATGAACATATCAAATAAATTTAATTAATGGAGATGTTCATTAATACCAGAAATATTGATTTCAATTTCAATCTTTATGATTATTTTATGAATATATTGTGGGATAATTAATAATCCTTCATATAAAAGCATTTATAATCCATAATAAAGTTTACTTCACTTCATACATTTGTTATATATCAATGGATAAAAAAAAAACCCGAGTTTGTTGGTGAGCAAAAGTAATAATTCATAAACGAGAACAGTTCATTCAACAATTAGTGAATAATAGCAGATTCAAATAACTTTGAAACTAGAATTTGATAATAAGTATTAAAATCGATAGTTGAACAGCTTGCTGTAACAATCTCGTTTGAAGTCAGAAGTAATTTGATCATCTACACCTAATTAGTCTCGACGTAAAAGTAGTTTTTATGACTTCTCCAGCAGCCAATGACTTTACTGATACATGAACTCATTTTAAAAACTATACAACCCTCATTATCGAAATGTACTTGTTATTCATTGTCAGTCATAATATTAACTTACAGAGGAACCACCAGAAGTTACTCTTCAGAACTAATCATGGAAAGTATTTAAATGAACAACATTCGTTTACCTATGCCAAGTAATTTTAATTACAAAATTAGCATTCTACAGTTTAATGAAAATATTTTTTATAGTTTTCGAAAAAGCAATTTAAATATTCAGTATTCCAAGTATTTTGTTTTGATTAGGATTTTTTTTTATAATAAAAACTTTGTATTCATATATGGACATTGTGATTTTCTTTTTTAAAATAAAATAATTCTTTCATAGAAACTTTATTCAATTATCAATTCCACGGTTTTTTTTTTTTAAATCATGTGTAATTTATTATGAAATATGCTGTATCATAACTTATGTTCCCAGTTGTAAAAAATATGATCCAACAATTCATGTTTGACTAACGTGAGCATGTAATCTTTTATTTACTCAAAGGGTTAGTTATCTATGTTGTTGCAATACATTCATTGATAAGATCTTTACTCATCATATGTAATCTTAATTATAGTAAGTTGGAAAAAACTATATTATATTTCTCTAAACATAGTTTTACAAGTTTAACTGAAGTAAAAAATTAATGTGAGACTTAACAGAAAACATCTAAATGAAAATATTCTAGCATTTTTTAACATAAATATTGAATAAAAAATTTCATAAATTATGCAATAAAAGAAATCAAAAAATTCAGTGCTAAAATATAAAAAATATTAATTTGTTTCAACGCACTTTTTTACTCCAATTTTAATTACATCATCCCTCTAATACTGGCAGAAATTTGTGGGTATGAAAAAAAAATTGATAATTAAAGTAGTAAATTTCGATTTAATTTATAAAAAAAAATTTAATCATTAATATCCTTTGATTCTGATTTATATCAATGAGTCAAAATGAAAATTTCTATTTTATTTACTATAAAAGCAAAGCCGATTCTACCTCATTGGATTATTGCTCCTATACCAACTCGAAAATCTCATAAAGTTCACTAGGATTCCAGAATATAATATAATACTCGACTTTTTCTACGCGTATTCATTGGAGATCAAGATTTATTACGTCCGATTTTCAGAAAATCGATAGACGAATGAAATGAGTCCAAGCGGAAGTCTCTACGATTAGTACTCTATGATCTATTACCATTATGAATAAATCAACAAATAGTTTTTCGATTGATTGCAAGACGCATTAGAAATCGATAAAAACAAAATCACCAGGATAAAATCAACAAGATGTTTTCTAAAAAATTGAAGAAATATTTTTATTTTTATTCCAACGAATATTTGTCTTTTGATAAAATTTCAAAATAAAAATTCACATTTGCAATCAAAAAAAAAAGGAAAATATTTTTCCATTGATCATTAAAAAGCTTAAATTAAAATTCCAGCAGATATTCAGCCTTTATTTGCCATTAACACTCATTCGGGTCGTCAGATCTATTGAATAGCTCGGTCAGAGATCAAACGTGGAATGTTAGACAAATAAAACGAGTGGAAAAATAGAATGAAAAGTGAAAAGATGATTCTGACAGTCATCTAGTCAGCAGTTGATATTGCAGGAACGTTTTGTGATGTTAGTAAAGAATAAAATGCATAAAAGAGGCAAGTGTGAAAGAGTGTGTGTGTGAGTAAGCAGTGTCTTGCTTGGCCGATTAACAAGAAGGGGAACCCAGACACCCAAGTAATATGTAGTGTGTGGGAGACGATGAAAGGGGTCCCGCGAGAAACGCGCGAGCGATGCACACCCATCAGCTCGACCAATCGCGAATAAAAACGTCATCTCGTACGATGTAACGGAAGAGCCGTGCCCACGTGGTGGCTAAAGTAATACACGCGTGCTATTTTCAGCTACACAACTAAAAGAAGCTTCAACTGCATCTTGCAGATCATTCGAGAATATTTTTTTTGTCTGAATTATAACTATTATAATCATTTTACTCCAAAAACCATCACCAACCTCTTTCAACATTTGTGATAAATCATCCAAAAAACTTGGTATTCTCACGAGCATAGAACTCCTCCTACGACGAAACCACCGGTGGCCTTTACTTAAAGCTTATCGATTATTTGTGCTATGCGTCATATCGCTACGTTTGTTGACATTAGTCAACTTATCTATTAACTGAACATCGATGAATTAATGTGTTACTGATGATGAAAAATATGATGAAATTAAATTAAAATATAATAGCCACGTATGCAGACGACAAACGTAATATATTATAACATGTTTTTCTTAAGTAATAAATTAATGAATACTTGTTTTTTATTTACGTAGTGATTGAGACGAGAATGGCAACGTGCAAAAATAGTTTCAATCTAGTCTGAAGGTTGTAAACAGATCATTTAAATGCAGTGCGCATTAGATAAACAAGTATTATCTTCAAAAATGTTATCCCATGACATTACTGTTTATATTACTCCGTAAAGTGTAACCTTGATCATGTAGAAGTTAAATATTGACCAACATACTCCTGTGGATGCAATATCGATTGATCAAACTATTCACTTTGCTACGCAAATTGCTCTCCAAATTTACACATTTATGTGATGAAGATCCTACGTTTATCTTAACTTTCATTTATCAATCTGAATGTCTTGTTTCATAAATAATATCCTTCATACGTAAGGAAAAAAGCCGTCGGTCTATGTAAGGATTTTCTTACTGGTAGAAAAAGACAGCTGGTAGTTATAGATAGAACACAACTTATATACTTACAAGAATAAAATGCTGCTAAGAGAATAGCAAACCAGGATAACTGTTTCTCCACCACGTTCTTCATGATTGTTTTTGTTCTTTTTTTTCAATTTCAATTTCAATGAAATCAATAATAATAATTAAATAATTTTAAATACTTAAGTGACAAGGTATTATGTTGTCAAACCACTCTAGTACTCAAGTACTTATACAACTCGTATAATTTCACTAACAAGAAAGTCAAATAAATTAACAAACAATGAATCAACTTCAAAAGACTATTGTAGTTGAACGAAAGTTTTTGAATGGAGTATTCTCAAGTTATTAAATACACTATTGATGCCGGTTGAGACGTAGTAAAGACGTTGACACTGCGAATAGAACGACCGGCTGTACGCGACTGATTCTCTTACTCAAGTTGGAGACACGCGTTTTCGCGGGACTCAGCTTTTGAAGGGATTTAGTGGTGTCGCGCATGCGCACCAAGCTCACGCCACCTTTGCGTCTCCTTTTCTCGAAATACTACCTGTACCCCACTTGTCCCCCCAAACCATTCAACATCTGTTCTTTGGCGATCAGATCACCGATCCGGTTGTCGCTCTACTCTTTCCTTTCCACTTTTTTCGCCATCTACTTCTCTTTCTATCCATTACCATCACCTACAAAACTTATTCGTAACCACTCTTCCTCGTACTTTTCCCTCTCATGTCACTCTCATTTCCGAATACTATAGTTACCAACGTTTATGTATGTAAAGGTATTGCAAACGTCTGGTATATTGGAGTAATTAATTTTTCCGTTATCCCGGGTGCTACTGATTTTTTGTTCTTAATGTTATTCTATTCATTGAGTGAAATTAGATGGAATGAAAGGAGACTGCTATTTCTGTATGAGACTCATTAGCTTTTATGAACATTTAGTGTATGTCATGGTGTAAGAATACCTGTAAAGAGATTAGTTGTCAGTGTGATAACTCATCGTTATTATACGGATTTATTCGGAAAGGTTATTTGCCATCGCTTCTATTCTGACGCCAAATAAAACGTCAGCAGTCTATACGTCTCTTTTGCGATAAATACTTATATGTATATGTGATATAATGATATTCTGATTTTAGAAAACAATTTATTTTACCGGTGTGGCTATTTTTGACTCTTTCATAATTGTTTGTTAGATGATGATCACGTCTGAGTTGATATGAATTTTTATTCATAATAAATGGAACTAATAATAAATTTTTTAAATATTTGCTAGTTTTTTAATGCTTGTCAATTATTTGAATTTGGAATGACTTTAAACAAACATCAATTAAATTTAAATAAAAGATTTCTCTTAATTATTAAATGCTGAAAATTTACATAAATTGACATTCAATCTATTGACATATGTTTATATTTTTTAATTTTCAGAAAAACTTCATTGAAGAAATATGTAAAATATTTATATATTTTCTGTAACAGAAGAGCTTATATTACAACATATTAAAAAGACTTACTGAAATCTAGACTAACCAAAATCATCAATGTCAATAAATATTAAATTTAATGTGCTCCATTAGAGTGACGTATTGATGAAAAGAAGAAAGAACGTCATTGTTGAAAGGTAAATAAGAAAAATTACTCTACAAAAAGTGTCTCAACCTTGCAAAAGCAATGTCATTAAAACTCATAAAAAGAAGGAACTTTCATGAATAAGAATCTTCTGCCACTTTATCATGGTTTTATAAATGAAATTTGTGGAATTAACCCTGAACTTGATACCAAATCACATCACGTTACACATAAAAATGAATATTTAGATATTGCGACAAAATATGAAACACTCAATGTATATTTAACTAATGGTTATTTAGCAAAAATTTGCAAGGCTGATAAATTTCTACGTTTCTGTGCGATAATTTATACGTGGAGAAAAAATTAAGCTTATCGTCATAATTTAAGATTAATGTAACAGAGAATTGGAAGGATAACGCATTGAAAGCAGATAAAATCCACCTGTTGATAATTATTTATGATTGACTATTGTTCGAATTTCAATCTTACTTTTTGCTTAGAAATATGTAGTATGGATGTCAAAAGAATTATACAATAATTAAGAGGCTTTGGAAAATAGTATATTAAAAGTTATTTTTCGTTTGATAATAGACTTTTTCATGACTGATCGATTTTCTATACGCTGGAATACATTTTAAAGCTTGTTTTTCTTACTTTTAAAATCTGTCACACCAAAGAAAATCTGTCACAAAAAATCTATTGGAATCTATTTTGAAATTTGTTTTTCACCCAACAAAATACTTCTTAAATCAATTTTGTAAGATTTTTTCAACAGAGTTATTGACCCTTGGAAATCGAACGTCATTCTTAACTTCAAACTTCACCAACTCACAATTCAATATCGTACCATGAAATAAAATTCATCAGAAATCTACGATTTCTTCTTTGTGACATGGGCCATTTTATCTATTAAATCACGTGTCTTTTATTTATTTTTATAAGGATTCTTATGAAGAATTACTACAATTCACAACCCTTTCAAAAGCGCTTAACTCAATTTTTTTTTTAAATTTATTGTTTTAAAATCTTCAAACATTATGTAACCATTTAATGGTTTTAAATCAGGTTTTAATTCATGAATAATCAAGATAAATGTAATGATTTGCTTTTATAGAACCCAACTCAATGGTTTTCTACAATTTATAGTCAAGTATCAATCTGCTCAAAAAACTAGGCACGTTGCTTACTCAGCTACTATGTGACGGATGACTTGATCCTTGAATATATAATCTGTAGTAAAATGATCCTGTAATTTTGTCAAATGTAGTTGGGTCTTTGAATCCTAAAACCAAAGTCAAGTCAATTTTAAAGTGGCTTCTTAAAGTAATTCTATCCTTTTCATTATTAATTATTTTCAAGAATTCATTGATAATGAATTTATATATATTTTCAATCGAATGGAAATAAAAAAAATTTATTGATGTTATTGCTAATAACTTTCTTCCTTTCAAACAAAGAAAAATTTGCATGTAAATTATTTGAAATACTTCCATTAACAAACATCAATGGAAGAAAATTCAATTGAAACAGTTGCATATTTTATGTTACATAAAAATCTTTTGAAATATTTACATTATTATATAGTATTTCATGTAATTTCAATTTCGCATTTAAAACATTTCCAACAAATATTTACTTTAAACGATTCAATTTTATTTGCCCATTATTGCAAGTAAACAAGTCATTTATTGATTACACTAAAAATATTCTATCAAGTTCATATTGCAAAATCATATCTACCATCTAAAAATCAACATCAATACTTTTTTATTACAGTGAATTTTTCATTCAAGCTCATAAGTAAATTAATTTCGTAAAGGGATCTTTTCAACAAAATTTCATTGATTAAAATCACATTACATTTTTAATATTAATATTCATCTTCAAGAAGCATCAAGTATCATTTTAAAAACTATATATTTTTAATCATATATCTTGTTAGTTATTTTTTAACGATTTGTTTTTCAATAGAAATTTTGATTATAAAAAGTTACCTTGAAAAAATCAAAACTTGTCTTTAATGAATTAAAAAAAAAAAGAATTTTTTGATTCAACTATATACTTATATCAGCTGTTCTTGCCATCTCATGTAGTAATTGACCTTTTTCTATGCTGTCAGTCAATACTTTATATATAAAGTCACTATGGTTATTATTCTCACGAAAGATAATTATACTCATATCTACTTAAAAGAATATTGAATTTATTGCAGTACAGAAGGGTGAATAATTTCTATTTAAAAATGTTCATACGAAAAACTCTTTACGATTATTATGCCTAGAATCAAAATGACTTGTTAAGTGGAATTTAATCACAATTGTTATTAATCAGTTTTGAAATAAAGCATATAAAAGGTGTATTAAACTTGAAGTTGATAGCATAACTATGACAATGAAAAATATCATTCCTTTAGAAAATATTTCCTAAAAAATTATTAAAAAAATTATTTTAAAATAATTAATAATAAGATTTCTATTAATTTCTAAATTTAGTACATCTTGGAATAAAAACATACAAAAGATTGTTAATATTTTATAGAAAATTAATCAATTGTAAATTATATTCCGAATTTTTTTATAACTATTGATTTGCTCATTAAAATACAATGTTGTTAAAAATAAGTCATAAATTTATTAAACAATCTCTAAATAATAAAAAAAATGAATAATTGTACATACTCTATCAAATGCATGAAATAGAATCTTTGAATAAATCTGTTTTCAGTTGAAGTAAATAAATATTGTACAGAACATTTTTTTTCTTGTTTCTTTACAACCGAACAAGAGTAACATTGTTTTACAACACCCAAGTATGTAACAAAACTTACACAGAGTTAATTTGCCAAAATAGTTGCTCAAATGTATAATGCAATTCAAATATTTCAACTTCCATAAAGACATTTCCTTATGTGTCTCAGTTCCTATTATTTCTCAATTGAAACTTTAGTATCCGCTGGTGTGAATTGAGTGCTCTAGTTTCAATAGTGCAGACTAAAGAGTTCCTCGAATGTAAAGGAGATTTCATTCGTATCCCTTCCGTCAAAGATGAAATAAATATGGAAAAAGTGAGAATTGAATCTGATCATATTCAAAGGAAAGTGTTTCATAAATTCTTTTAGAGATAACAAAAAAGGATACGTTTTTTTACACGTAGTGTTAACGCATTCTTATGGAAAGCTCATTTTTAGATTATACGAAGTGCAGTGAAATTTTTGTGAATACATGTATATGACGGAACCGTTACAATTCTTTTCTATATTCTCCCTTTTTTTCCTTTCCTTTTTTCTCTCCTGAAATGCTGCCTACGTGTATGGAAATCAGATGCTATTTTCTCTACTTTATTCTATTTTATACTGAATATACTTTTTCATCGATTTAACCAACAGACGCTGAAATTTTTTCATACCTTTAATTTATAAAATTATCAACTTTTTTTGTTAATTTATTCCAATTTGTAGCAAAAAAATCTGATTATGGAAAAAAATCTATTAATTTTGCATTATGTTGATATTTATTCATTTATGACTTTGTAATAACTTTTAGAAAAATTAAATTAAACAATAATGGTTAACATTAAGGATCTTAATAGCATCTCTAATGACGGCTATACCGCTATTTAAAACCTCTCCACACAAGGAAGAAAAACGAAACGAAACTCATAAAGTTTAACGAGCTTACTCGGGGGATCTAAAGGTTTTGAAAGAATTAGTATACTTTCTTCAATAAAATGAGAAAAAAGTTTTAAATTATAATAAATAGAATATATATTATTTGAATATATATTATACAGGAGAGCTCACAACTGAATGGGGTACTAAAAGAAAATTAGGAATTAAAAAACTCTATTAAAAATTTTTTCGGATTTTTTATTTAAGAAAAAAGTATAAAAAATACTTAAAAGAAGTTGATATGTATTTTTTAACATTTATTTCTGTTGCTCAGAATAGCGTTGTTTGCCATATTTTAGAAAAGCTTAATGCATAGTTTTATGTATCTAAAAAAAAAGTTGATGACTATGTGAATGATGTATACTTTTTCATAATGGTACCATTTGTAGAGCAGTAAACAATTGATGGTTTGGATGTGTATATAAAAGCTCTTTTACATATTATAACATCTTTACAAATAACGAAATACAACTTGGACAAATAGTCATCGAAAAATAAAAAGATTTGCATCTGGATGATGAACTTAGATGAATACTTCTTTCAATAAATATTCAGATACTTGATCGAGTAAAGTTGCTACAATTTTTTATGACTATCTGCATAATAAGCACGGTATCAACTCAAACTAATATAATTTATGTGAAAATTCCTTGTCACGTATTCCAATAAATCATTTATATTTTGTTATGATTTTTTTTATTCTAGCTTCAAGCCCAAAAGAGTTGAGTAAAATAGGTTGGAACAGAGATCAGCAAGAATACGTAGGATCACTAGACTTTACAGGTCCTGGATATATCTGCGTTATTGACAGATATTTCCTTTAGAAGTCAGATACTTGGGAACATTCAAAAGATATAACATTTTAGAATCACTTAGAAATTTAAATAAAGTCTTGATTTAATTCTCAGTAAATGATTTTTCAATTTTCTGTTAAAAAAAATTATTATGAAATATTAATTGCTTTGTGGTTATATTAACTCTTATAAACTCAAGATGAAAATAAGTGATAATAATATTTAAATAAAGTGGTAGGATGAATCAAATTGACTTGGAACCCCGAGTTAAATTAAACTTGAATCTGAGGTAAATTAAACTTCTACACCATAGGGTGTAAGAACTTACATTCAATGATGCAGACATAAAATTTTTAATAAGATTCCCTGTTGAATTATTTTTTAATAAAGTGAAGTTTAAGTAAATAAAATTTTCGATCAATTTACTTTTAGGATATATAATCTTATGAAAAATACCAAGCTGTAAAATTGAGTATAATTCTACAAATTCATTCACAATCTTCAATTTTTTTTTTTGTTGTTTGAATAATCTGATGAATAAATAAATTTTAAAAAAGGTAATTTTTCAAGATAAAACATTTTAAAAAATTCATTTGCACCATTTTAATTACTTCCATTTTATTTCTGTGATTTATTTATAAACATGCTGTTCTCATTTTTGTATAATTATGTCATATTGCATTCTGAGCATATATGTGTACTACGACTAATGTGGGTAATATCAATATTTTGCGAAGGTATCTAATAATTGTGCACTGATCGAATAGACTATCAATTCTCGCGTGCAATGGTAATGTTACTACACAATTTCTTGATTATTATACGCATGAAAATCGCGTGTCTCTTAGGTGTTAAAAATACTCCAATAATTCATGAAAGATACTCATTTGTCGAATAAATCACGAGCGATAAATTATTGACTTACAAAAAAAGTAAACAAACTATAATCGTTCGACTTTTGAAACATCATAAATCATTCATTTCAATCGTAAGTTCAGTTATAAATTCTATCAAGATTTATTTAATTCTTGTTCTTAAAGTCAATTGAAAACTGAAAATAAAATTACTAAGTTTTATTGTTTGTACTGATCTATAATTAATAATAAATATTTAGAGGAACTTTTTAGTAGAAAAGAGATGAAGAAACTAAAGCAAAGTAAAAGAGGGATGTTTATTGAATTGAGCATTGATGTACAATATTTTAAAAATATAAAAAATCAAAACTCAAGTAAAAAATATAATTAGCATTGTTTATGGACATTGTTGTGGAATCTGGATCAATGAATGATTTATATATCGTGCAGACAACTGGAAATAACCAGAGCACTCTAGTCTTGAAGAAAAATAGAATGTTATCCTGTGTACTAGAATTATAAGAGAGCGTGGCACCAAGGTATCTATTGTGGCACAGTATAATGGGTTGCCCTGCACGGAAATCTGACGATTACACGAGAACGGGCAAGATAATGGAATACACGCCATCACTTGGATGAATAACGTTGACGAGCATGAAACACTCGTTAAAATTTTTCCTTCCATACCTGAGAAATCCAATTTTTTACTGCTGAAATATTAAAAAGGAGTGATTTGATAATTTATACATCATATCAGACATCATTTCATGAAGTTAAGTAAAATGTAATTGTATTTCATGAGTAAAAAAAGTTACATTTTATCTATCTTTAAATTTTTTTTCGAAACTCTATTGATTATTTCATTAAGCTTTTCAAAGTTCAAGAATTTATTCATAAAAATGTCATTTGTAGAAGAATTAATTAGCCTATAATATCTATGAGAGAGTAAATACTTTAAGGAATTTAAATAATATAGATTGAAATCAATTTTAAAGGATTTTTAGAAACGTTAATAATACATATACATATATATAAATAATAATATATGAAATTATATTAAAAAGTTAATGAATTTTATATTATATAATAATAATATATTTTTCTTTGTTTGAGATTATTATTGCATAGGGAAATCTACAAGAAAATAAGATTCTTGAGAAAGCTAAATAGTAAGAGAAGTCATGATAATACTTCGTTGCAGTTGATGGCATGGACTTGCAAACTCACATTTGAAGATGACTTTCCAGTTTAAATACTACAATTTTGCTTTCTTCTCCAACATTTATTGAAAAAATTCCGTATATCAAAACTTTTATTTCGGTAATTTATGTATTTTCTGATAAGTAATGTTACCTAATGAAATCCAAATTCACATCTTCGTCCGGTGATATAAAAAATGTCAATCTTGATAAAAATCCACATTACTTTTACCAACCATCTATTATCGACCTAGCATCTTACAGGTAGCGTATAAAAAGATGTTGAAATATTTTTATCAAATCTAGGGTATCTCATGAAAATTTTAAATTCTTTAAAAATAAATTTATATTTCCTGAAAAGATTAGAGTATTACTAAAAGATTCATTAACTGAAATGAAATGAAATAAAAATGTATTGAAAACTGAAAAAGAATTTCTCTGTACCTTTCATCTAATTCTAGCATATGACGGCTTTTTTCTATATCACTCTAAGAATCTTCTTATCAGTCGATTATAAATAAAAAGCGTCTTTAATAATACTTTGTTACTACTTTTCAAATAAATAATTAATTTCATTCATTAAATCTTTACTGAACCAATGAATCGACGATAGTAAACTACAAAGAGATATTTCCAACGTGTTGTAATTACACTTGTCCGTTTGTACTTTGCTACCGTTGAAATGCTAGAGTAATTGAGTGCTTTAACAGCTCTAGCTATTGCATATATAAATGTATTAGAATAGATCGCAAACATTTGAGTATTCAACTTTAGGAAACCCTGATGCAAGTAATATTCATGAAGCCAACCGGACACAAAAGTAATCATCCAACAACTTGTGCTATGAGCTTTATAGATCAAACCGAATTTCCATCGAAGAAAATTGTGACGTTAAATTCCTTTAAACTTTTCCAACTTCTTGAGGCTGAAAAAATGTAAAAAAAATTTCACATCAGAAGCATAAATAACAGATTCTGAGAATCATACACAGTTACGGTAAGTCCGAAACTTTACTTAATGTGTCAAACTAGAAAAGCTGCTTCTGCAGACGAAGCCTAAACAATCCAGTACCTTGGAGCGAAATCTGTGTAGCCGAGTTGGAAGCAAAGCTCATTTGAAGTTCGTTGAAGGGTACAGTTCTGTGGTAAGCATCACTTCGTAAATCTCCGTAGGAGGAAGTCAAGTGGTTTAGCTGAACCCCTTGAAAATCTCAACTTAGAACTATCCACTAACAAAGACAGTTAGCTTAGAAGGTTCGATCTTCAATAAATTCTCTTATCGGAAAGTATTTCGTGAAGTATCCTTTCCTTAAAACTGTCTCAGTTAGAAAACATAGTTTCATTAAGTAATTCGTATGGTAAGATATTTTATTATGAAAATAGTTACGTTGCGTATTTTCACATCAACAATGTCAATCTATTTTTTTGATAGTTTAATAATAACTTTTACTATGAATTAAATAGAACTCAATACTATAATTCATTTAATGTAGGTGAGATTGATAAACTTTTTTCTATAAATACTGATATTTGATTCAGTTAAATTGACATTAGAAATATAATTAAGTCAAAATTAGACTATAAAATAGAGTTGAGGATTTTATTAGCATTTGACCTAATTAATGTTTCTGTTTTAATACATATAAACTATTACTACAGCCCTAAAATAAATGATAAAGCCCGGAAAAAATTAATTATTAATGTTTCAGAAATAATGAATAAGAAATTAAATGACTCTAAATGAGTACCATTAATCCTAATACTTGAATGTCCCATGACAGTAATTATTTGAAGTTTTAAGGCCCAAGATGTTTGTTCTAGAACAGTAAAATAAAAGATTAAAAAAAAATCCACTGTTTGAAACTTACCCAAAAGATTTAAGAACAAACACTTTAAATGAAAATTTTTAATAGAATATCTCCGTGAAAAAGCAAAATGCCTCTATCTCTTATCAAATAGTTTCTCTTCAGTGTAAAAACTACATGTAACTCATAAAAATTCTTCGTAAGTTTTTGCTATTAAAATATGAAATCATCGTTTTGTAGTTGATGCATTTAAGTTATCTAACGTGCTCACTGATTTTGTTCAAGCGAAAAGAAAAAAAGGTGTGGATGTAACGCCAGTTTTCTTGGCAGCGATCGCGCCAAGTTTGCGAAAATTGAATAGATACGAGAGTCTTGCGCTCTTTCATCCACTGGTGCCAAGTTTCTTAGAGTGAAGGGTTTCCCAGGGAGAGTTGGAGATTGTTAAGAACATTGGTTCATTAAAAATGCAAGTTAAAATGTCTGATGACATTTATTCAAGTAAAAATTTCCTTTAATTGAATGTATTCCCTTGCATTGAAGGAAATAGATACATACATAATATTGATTCCATCACTTTGAGTGGATCAATCGTTAACAGCATTTATGATATGCTCTTACGGTTCATTGGTAACAATGGTATAATGCTAGAGTATTACCATGAAATTGAATGAATTCGTAATAAGAGGAATCTATGTAATACGATTGTAATATTAGAGAGAAATTTAATACATACATACAATATTTATTTAGCTGAATAATTATTTAATGAATATTAACTTGTATTAAATGATTTAAAACTTATAAGTATAGATGATATTTATACACTACTAGCAAATAATTAATAGCATCCAGGAAATGGATCAACTCGGTTCTTTCTCATTATAAAAGAAATCTTTCTGCTCATGTCTTCATCATACAACGATTTACATCTTTCATAATTAATCCGACGTCTTACTTGTGTTGGCTTTTCGTAATATCTAGTCCTTCTCCATTGATCAAGGAATCCTTCCCGACCCATTATCCTATTGAGAATACGAAATGCAGCATCTACGTTGCCATTTTGTACGAGGACTGTTCTTGAAATAAATTTCGCGTGTCGCATATTACTGTTGTAATAAAAAAAGGTTAAGTTTTTTTAATAAATTATTTATAAGAATAAATATATAAATATTATGAATTACCTCAATTTCTTTTTGGTAGTTCGATTTTCAACAAATAAACAATGGTTTTAGGTTATGGTTATGTGAGGCAAAGTTAGGTTTTCGATTCAAATTCCGTATCTCTCTGCCATCAGCAGTTCATTTTTAAAACTTTTAATTAATCTTTAAACTAGCGATAGAAGATAAAGAAGTAATAAAAAAAATTTCATTTGATCAACAACAGATATTGTCTATATGTACATTTCTTGTTATCGACAGCATGTATAAACTAAAAATTAATGAATAATACAATTATGAACGAAAAAATATAATATTTTCTACATAAGATTTTTTATGGAGTTAATAATTAATTTGTTTGATTGATAAATTCAGAAAATTATAATGAAAATTTGAAATTTACCCACTTGACGTTATATGACCTCTGGCGGAGAACTCGTTAAATATTAGCGATAGATATATGACGTATTGTCGGGGTCGGTTAACAAAGGTGTGTGCAACTGTTCTATTGGAATGTTTGTAAAGTTCTCCTGAAAGATTTTTGGGATTTTCTTTCGTAAAATTAACTGATTGACTCCAAAAATGGCTGGTGCTATTAAAGGGGTAATTATAAACTTCAATTATGGCACTTGAACTTTGAACACACTTGTACAATACAATAAAACAAATTTTTTCGTATTACACAATGATTATAACCTTATAAATGGAATCAACAAGGAATAATAATATTGGTTTTATTATTACAGTCAACTTTTTTAAAAGGTCTTGCAGTCGAAAAAAATCCCCACCTAAAACTTACTGCCAATTATCAAAAACTCCTTTACGCTCTTGCTAAACTACCAGAAACATCAGCTTATAGAAGACACACTGAAAGTATTACAAAAGAAAGACTTCATCATGTTCAAACGGTAAGATCACATTAATTTCTCTTTGAGAAAATTATTCTAATTCATGAATGACCTGATTCATTAAATATTCAAGACTCCTAACATCGAAGAGCTTGAAAAAAAGATTGACTGTGGTCAAGTTGAAGAGTTAATTGTACAAGCTCGAAATGAAACAATGTTAGCTCGTAGAATGAGCGTTTGGAAACCATGGGAACCTCTAGCTGAGCCACCACCACCAAATCAGTGGACTTGGCCACCAACAAAGTAATTGTTTTCTAAATTAGTATAAAAGTATAATTTATTTAGTTATATGAATTATACAATATATACATCTTATCTGACGCAAGTATAAATCAGTTTGTGAATATTAATATAAAATTAAATACCAAATAAGATAAATTATCAACATTTTATCAATTTATTGTAACTAGTTTCTTTTGAATTAATTTTTATTTTTTTTTACTTGGAAAATTATCTAAAAATACCTTTTTCATTTGAATGATAAAACCCACAAATGTTAAAAAATTTGATAAAATTTTAACTCTTTAGAAATTGTTCCTTTGTTAATAGTCTGTGAACATGTTTTATCTTGCATAATTTTTTTTTATTTAAAAAACAAAGATAAGAAAAAATTTCAGTTAAAATATTCATAAAAAACAAGCAGTGATAGAATAAAAATATTCAGGAATTTAATTTTATCAGATTGAAAGGTTAATTAAATTAAATACTATCACATCCATGAAAAAATCCTTATGTTTGTATGTCACCATTACTTCAGCTTTATTCAAGTGAGATCTAACAATTTAATCATTCCTGAAATGGATCAATGAAGTAAATGATTGAATAGAGAAGTAGGTTCTACGTCCATGAATGGATTTTCATCACTAAACTTGGAATAATTATCCCTTAACGAGTGATGGAGGGACTGGATAGCGGGAAAGTGGATAAGTTAGATGGAATGAGAGTTAGAATAGGAGAAAAATTCGCGAGAGTAAAAAGAAATGGTCAGAGAAGTATACCTGTTGGTTCTTTGATGTTACAGGTAGAAGGAGAAAGAAATAGAGAAGAGTGGGAGAGGTGTGGTGATGCGGTTTTGTGCAAGTGAGATGATGTGAGTGAACAGAGCACGATGTGTGTGGAGGTAGAGAGTAACGAAGGAAAGGAGGAGAGCTCGAGTTCTGAGAGAACGCGCGACTGTCGCACTTGCCTCCGAGACATCGTTGACGCAACACTGCGCGCGTGTTTCTCGTCGAGGATGTAAACAAAGTTACGATCGTGTGTTCATGTTTACGCATGTTTTCCCTTTCTTTCTTATTGTTGTTATTAAACGACAATCATATTAACGGGAACAGTTACAAGGATATTGAAGAACCATTTGATGTCTTTAAAATAAAATCGATAATTGACGGATTGTAAGTGAATATTACTATCAGATAAAATTTATACAAGTGTTTTAAAATTGAAACAGTATATAACAATCGAATTTAAAGAAATTCCATTTACGTTGGCGAATGATTAAATAATTCTTACAAAATACAATCTTGATTGTTGAACTTTTTTTTTATTTAGTAAAGTTGGCTGCAATAAGCCGAGTAATCGGGCAGATTGTTGCTGTTGTGGAGCGGTTTTTACACAGTGAATAGTATTGTTCGGCTTTGTTCGTTTGGATCACCGTGGACCTTTTACTGTCGAGAACACGCCGCGGGTACAGTGAACCCCTAGCGTTCGTTGTCGGTCTATCTGTGTCGGATTGAAATATCGGTGGCGCCGTGGGAAAGGGATCACCGGCACGCCGAAGGCTCCATTATCGGTAAGTGTCGATTTCATTTGTAATGCCCTGAAATTCGCTTTCGGACTCTAATGAACTAGAGTTATCAATTTCTGCATGATTATCCGCGAGAATATCTAATCATTTGAATGAGTCTGCATTCATTAACGTATTGCGAAGTTAATTCATCAACTACTAGACATGCTTCTACAGCAGTAGACGATTAATTTATGGGTATTAGAGACATTTTTTGCGTGCGTGTTATTGTATCAGAAGGTCTTGATCAACCACAAATGTTTCTTTCAAATACTTTGTAAACAATAACATCTGTTATTACTAATACACATTACATATTTCATTCGAATACCAAGTATTTTTATGACCCTAGTGTTGATAAAAAAAATTTGTAGTTTTCTAGTTGAGTTACAAAATTGATATTGAATTGACAATTCGGAGTAGTTATAGAGATAAATATATAATAGAGGAACTATAAATTGGAGTAATTATTTAATTTTTTACGTTTTTTTAATTGAAAAGTTAAATTAAACTTCAGTCAGATAATTGAAATTTTACATCTAAATTAATTTAACAATTTTTTGTTAATAGTTTATAAATAAATTCAAATGACCTACTAATAACATAATACAAATGTTCTCTTCGATATTATCAGAATGATTAGAAATAATTACGAACAATCTTGACATTATACACACAAGCATTCACAACATTCGACATTCTTTCTTTTTTGGGGTCCTGATCAAGGCCAAGAATGTATTATTTACAAACAAAAACTATTCTGTTTACTATTCTGAAACATGAATTAAAATTCCAACTAATTATTTCGATCTTGATCTTCTTCGAAATTTTATTTTTTTCTATCTATAAACTCTATTTCTAAACAGCCATAAATTGCTCAGTACTCATCAAGAGGTAGTTTATGAAATGAATTCAAATATATTCAGCCTATAATTGATACTCCATGGAAATATTTATAAAGATGAATGAACATAGAGAGGTAGGATACTGATTTAGACATTAATCATAGTTTATTTATTTACACTTTCTGGATGTTTTGATAGGAGTGAGTGTTACATACCTAATAGTAGAGTGTCGTAGATAAATAATAACTTTCACTGGCGTGCCAAAGTGTTATGAAACGATTGATTGTAATAATGTGAAAGTGTCGCCGTATATATCTGGTGGAATAAAAAATAGAGAGCGGGTTGTTCATTAAGCTACCGATTGCGGATGAGGTAAAAGCGAGAGGAATAGATGGAATGCAAGTCGGTGTATGAGATTTTATCAGCAATGTCAAGCACCCTTCGAGAGCGATCTAAAGGCGGTATATCGTCGATTGCAAAGAGCGAGGGTCTGTCTGGTGAGTCTTTGGAATTCGTTCTCCCGCCCTTCTCTCTTATATGTTAGACCCTGGAAAATCCTGTGTGATCTTGCGATCTACAGCTTTGTGCACAACCACTTGGATTCTCTCTACCTGAGATCTAACGACCAGCTTTCGGTCTATCCTTGGGCAGCAGTAAGTGCCACGTTACCGGGTGCTCGTTAGGCTTTGACGATGATTAACGCGTGAACGCATAAGGCAATCGACCTCGACCACCGCCTTGCTGCTCTCAAATTAGGCCATTCTTTCCAGATATATACATAATGACATCCGCGTTACCCAGCTTTGGAACACAAGCTTCATTTATTCGCGGTTGAAAAAATGCAGTTGGATTGCTTCTAATCAGTAGTCGCTTCATTCATTTAATTTGTACTCCTATTAATAATCCTCATAAATTGATGAGTCATTTTGGATTAAAATCTCTTTCGACTCGTTATCGTTTTTGGCACAAAATTTACCACTACTTTTTTTTTTCATTTCTAATTTTAATTACAGAGAAATTTATTGTTTAATGCTATCATTAAAAACATTAATTTTTCTTATAAATATTTATGAAATATTTAATCATATTTAAAAGAAATTATCCAGAAAATTAGTAAAATAAAAAATAACGGGTTTTTTTTCAAAGTAATTGATCTTTTTTTTTTTTGTCAAAAATGAAATGCATTTATTCTCTTGGAAAAAAATAATAATAAAAAAAAAAATCTATTCAAACAAAAAAAGAATTCCACGTATTTTTAAAGGACAAATTTGTCTACATATTATATGTAGTATATCCATATTTCCCTTACGAAAAAATTTCTACATGAGGTAGTACAGGTGCTAACATGACTTTCCAACATTGACAAAAATCTCTAAACCACTCAACACTTGTACGCACCGTCACAGCTCTCACCTCCTGAAAAGTCTCTCTCTATCCCTCTCTTTTTCTCTTCAATGCCGACTCATTCAACTTCTCACAAGCTCTTCTATTGTACCTTTTTTTCTCTTTTTTTCACACGGCTTCATTTCCCTTCCAAGACAAATACCAACTGCTTGGTTATCTCTTAATCGTACATTAAGTAGCAACATAATATGCTCTAAATTACTCGCTAAACACATCATGACTTTCGGATTTTTATTTCGAAATTTATTATTATTTTAACTATTTCCAACCCACTAAATATAGATATTATTAAGTCATTTTTAATAACACATATTAAATATTTTTTTTTATCAAATTTAATATTAATTAAAATATACCAATTAAGATGAGTTGCAAAAAATGACTTGGTTATCAAAATAATTATAATAATTAGTCATCGAAGTATGGTTACTAAATATTAGAATAAATAGTGATTTCTATTTCTAAACAATAAAATTGTCAATAAGATAACAACAAAAAATCTAAATTAGTAAATAGAGATTTGCTTGGATGAGAAATAAATTAATTTACTGGATATTGATAACAACTAAGTGTTTTTCTTTTATTAGAAATCGAAGTGACTATAAGATTCACAAGAAACTAAATATCGTATGTGCACTTTCCAACCTTTTCTAGTAATAAAGAAAAAGCTATGGCTTGTTTGATCTCCTTATACAAATTAAAATAACTTACTGTTTTCGCACGCATATTTTCTCTGCATAGTGAATCGACATTTGCGTTAAAATGCACTCATAGTATACAATTATCGACTGCATGAGATTATTATGATGTGCCCGCGGGTGTTTTCATGTCGTTTTCTCGCATGCTGCACGTGTTTGCCGAGACGTAAAGCAGGCCACACGCCCTATTTCCAACTGATTCTTTTATTTTTCTCTTTTTTTTTATTATTCCTTTATTTGTTTCATACAGTAATCCAATATCCATTATAAACCTCACATGTAGATTAATCACATTATATAGTGCATTGCGTTGTCGTAAATTTCAAGTCCACATTGCTAATCGCTTTTTGATGATTACTAAAATATGCTGCAAAGAGTCACTGAGATAATAAAATAAACCGGCTCGGTATATCACTATTATGAAAGTCTCAATTGACAGATTTAAGCTCAAGGTTGTTTGTATTGAATGACAGCTAAGGTATTTCTAGTATCTCGAGGTCGATTCTGGAGTATGTATCTCTATTAATTAAAGGTTTGCCAATGATGGGTATTTGGTGGTAGGGTAGAATAAAAATGGATGATATAATGAGTAATAAATGGTAGGCTTCGAGTGTGTGGTGTAAATAAAAGGATTGCGAGAAATAAATAATTTATTTGAGTGGGTTTTTTACGCCAACCTGATGTTCGCAATAGTTAAGGTTTCCAGTGTGATGGTGTGTTGGAAATGATATGTTTTTAAGGATTCTTGTATACTCGAGCGAAAACGTTTGGCTTTTTATTTCAAAGAATTTTATTTCAATCTTACGCAATTATTTTGGAATCATCTTCATTTATTACACAAATTATTTCTTAATTTGACTTAATGAGAATATTTCATTTTAACAATAGCTTGAGAATGTTTAACATTATTTTTTAATTTTTATTAATGTTTTTTATTTATGATTTTTATTGTTTTATGATGATTATGAACGATTTATCATTGTGGAGTTTCTGAGTAATTAATTGAGTTTACTTAGTCAACAGATATCAACAATTCATGTAAATTTAGATTCATGTGATATGTAAATTTAATTATGACAATTCAAATGAGTACTTGTATAATTTATGTCTCTATTATTATATCATACATTCATTATTATTCACATTATCTAATAAATCACAATGTTTTTTTGTAAGAATCAATAAAAGAATATTCCTGAATTAATTTATTAATAATTATTCAGTTTGAACTGTTTTTGTTGAATAAACATTAATATCAACATTACACAACTATTACTGGAGAATAACATTTTCATTAAAAAAAACAGTAATTTTAATGAAAGTATTAGCTAGAAATGAAAATAATTACACCATCAAATCTGACATAATAAATTTATTGTTATTACTGTATAAAATAAGTAAGAGTGAAATAGAGAAATCTTAATTTATTCCGATATCAATAAATTATTAAATTTTCTCAAAATAATGTATAGATAAATATTTTTCATTAATAATAATCTAGGTACTTGATAGATTGAAATTTATCATCTCGTTATATGGGTCAGTATGATTAAGATCGCAGTGAAGTTGATTAAAAAAGAAAGGATTGTTGTTAATATTCATTCAATATTTTTATTATAGACATTAAAAATAAATCTTAATTGTGCTTTAATTCGATAAAATAATTTTTTGTGCTCTATAATGAACTTATAGGAGTTAAATCATTTTCATTACAATTGCGTTTAATAAAGATTTATATGACTCGTGCAAAACTTTGAAGAATAATTACTGGCGATATGATCGTTCTGGTTAATAAAATTGAACGTATAATTCAAGTAGGCTTCTATATAAGCGTACCGTAAAATAAAAGAACAAGTGTGGCAAGCACAGGATATTACTGAAGCCATTGGTGAACTCAACATCCTATAATGTTCGCTATTTAATTTTAAACGATCGAATTATTTATTTATTATTTATTAAGAAGAATATACATTGGTTATTGTACATTCAATTCAATATTATTTTCTCAGTATTTACTTATTATTTTCTATTCATTAACACTCGTATCACAAGCAAATTACCTTCTGAGTAGATGTAACAGAAGAATGAAATCTAGGGAAAAAATGAAAAACAAATTTACGTGTTGGTAATATAATGCATGTTAAGAATGATGGTATGAGGAACAAAAGGTTATAACAGTACTCCAGAAGTACTTTGATTGTTCAGAAACAATTCAGATGGATTTATTTATCATAAATTGTATTTTTCAACGATGCTTTAAGGAAATTGAAAATTTTATGATTTAAGTAAATTTATGGTAAAGAGAAGATAAAAGTAAATTATTATCATGCAGTGTTCAATAAATTATTAATACACAAAGAAAAACAAAATTTAACACATCATTTTTTGGCATTTAACCAACAAAGAAAAATCACATTAGTGTATACTAGTTTGAAAATAATTACATTCAATGGAATATCTGTTTTTAATTAAACGTTTGTTAAAGATTAGAAAG